CCCACCGGGGGGAGGGGGAGGGGGAGGGGAACAACAACATGGTGTGTGTGAGTGTGTTTATTGAATACGGTCACAGAGCAACCCCTTCCCCCCCGAGCAGCATGTATGTATGTATGCATGGATGGGGGGAGGGGGAGTTGTGACCTGAAGGGGAGGTGAGGGTTGTTGTTCTTGCTGAACGGGAAGGGAGCGGGAAAGGGCTTAGGTTTCCTGCAAAGGCCTTTGTGTGGATTGCACAACAACAACCCTTCCCCCTTCCCCGTGTGTGGTTCGTCTTTCCCCCTTCCCCCCCTCCCCCTCCCCTCCCCGCGGGGACCCCCCAGGTGTTTGAGCTGGTGAAGAACAGCTTGCGGGCGGTTCAGGAGCGGTTCAGTGAGTCGGAGTGGGAGCCGCCGCCCATCCAGGTGGTGGTGGCGGAGGGACTGGAGGACGTGACCATCAAGGTTTGGGGGTGGGGGTTGGGGGTTGGGGCCGGGAGGGCGGCTGCAGGTGCCGTACGTAATGAGCTTCGTGCGCGATAGCTGCTTCCCTGATGTTCGGAAAGGGCACCTGCGAATCAATACACAACACGATACACCGACACACACGCGAGGACACATCACATCCCGGCACGCCGTGCTGCTCGGGGAATCCCCCTTTTCCGATTTTGCTGTCTGTATGTCTTTGTGTATGCCTGTGTGTGTATATGTTTGAGCGGTTATGCAGCCAGCCGCGGCGTGCAATACCTTTTTCTGGGGAAACAGGAGTTCCAAACTAATTCGATGTAGCACCAGACGTACAACCTCCCCCTCCCCCCCTTTCTCCTCCCCCATACACCCCCCTCCCTCCCCCCCCATAACCCCCCATACCCCCAGGTATCCGACCAAGGGGGCGGCATCCCCCGTTCAGGTCTGGCCCGCATCTGGACCTACCTCTACACCACCGCCTCCTCCCCCCTGCCCGATGTGGACATTGACAGCACCAACATGCCTGTCGTACTGGCGGGGTACGGCTGCGGACTGCCGCTCAGCAGGCTGTATGCCAGGTAGGGAGTGGGGAGGGGGGAGGGGGATGCGGCCAAGCGAGAGCGACAACGCGGGTGGGGTTGAGGGTACAGATTTGGATCTGGATCTGGATCTGGATCTGGGTATGTTTTTTCTCCCGGGTGGCCCCGGATGTGGGGG